AGCCGAAGGCAGTCGCTTAACCAACTGAGCCACCCAGGCGCCCGGCAACATTTTTTTTTAAGTGCTTCTAATTGACCTGCATTTTCCTGAGATTACCCATTAGTTTCCATTCTTCATAGAACAAAATAGGCTTTTAAAAAAGCCCATCTGCGTCCTCTTTTGTGTTCTTTCTTTCTCTCTTCTTTCCCTTTCTTCCTTTCCATCCTTCCCTCCTTTCTTTCCTTCATCACTTTCTGTACTAGGGTTTTCAGAACTGTCCATTGCCAGGAATTCTCTAGTTTAGTAGCGCTCAGAATGTGTTACTATGAAATGTTCTTTTTAGAGCTGAATACGCTCCTATATTTGTGGTCTGACCCATACTGTGCACGTGAATAGAATCTCGTCAGTTAAAAAAGTGTTATTTTAGAAATAGCCATGCCACCTGTTGACCCATGATGAAACGATGGTTAATGAAATTTCTAGTTTCTTTTCATGCCTGTTGCTCTTCCATTTTGTATTTGTATTTGTTTGTTTTTTACTTACCTGCCTTAAACTTTACTGTTGACTTTGGTCCAGATAGTTCCTTCTTTTTAATTGTGAGTCTCGTCATTGTACATGTTATCCATTGCACATAATCTATCGCTACATCAAGATAGAACATTACTTCACAAGTATTGCTAAAAATTATGGTAATATTAACAGAGAGCCTGTAATGCTAACTTGCTGAATTGTCCAAATTTTTTTTTTATTATGGAAAATTTCAAGTATACACAAAAAATACATTTAAGGAAATATATTGTCCAATAAACATGAGGCTTTGTCTTGTTTTAAATCCCTTTTCTTGGGGGCACCTGGGTGGCTCAGTCGTTAAGCATCTGCCTTCGGCTCAGGTCATGATCCCAGAGTTCTGGGATCGAGCCCCGCATTGGGCTCCCTGCTTGGTGGGAAGCCTGTTTCTCCCTCTCCCACTCCCCCTGCTTGTGTTCCCTCTTTCTCTCTGTCTCTGTCAAATAAATAAAGTCTTTAAAAAAAAATAAATCCCTTTTATTGGTGGCCTTTTGCCTTTCCCACTGTAGATTTGCAAAAGAGTAAAATAATTTAGCTACTTGACGGTTCACATTTATTTTTTTTATAACTTAGTATTTTCTATCTCTTCTCTCTTGATGTTTTAATATCTTTTTTCCTCCTGTTTGTGAGGAATTAATTTTTCTCTTTGTGTAACTTATAGTCCTTTTGGGTTATTATGGTGGTAACGATTGGTGAAAGGTACAGCTGGTCAACTGTAGGCTTTCCTCTTGATGAATTTAACAGACACAAGACTTCTGATTGAAGCAGATGGTTCATTGTTTGTAATTTCTGGTAAATGCCAGTGTGTCTGTGAGCAGGACCATATCCTTAATACCAACTCCAGAATTTTGATCGGAACAGCTGGGTTTGAATTGAATTGGGATTTTCAAGAGCACCCAAGTCCTTCCTATCTAATGCATTAGCCTGTTGAGAAGACACCCTACCATTTGAATATGGTCTTTCATTGCATCTGCCAAGTGTGGAAATGATGCTGTCAGTTAAGGTTGTCTGAGCAAATATCTTCCAGATGAAGGGCTTAGTAGTACATTAGAATAACATGCTAACCCTTTTCTTCCAGGTAACTGTGTTGGAATCATTGAAAGGCGAGTTCATTTGGAGAGCTCAAAACCAACTTTAATTAATTTCGTTCAACATGTTGGCATGGTCATGTATTTTGTCTTAAAGAAAAATCTGCACTCAGAGAAGTCAGAAAAATAAATGAAAAGAATTTGTGTCAGCCAGCAGTAACAAAAATGGTAGCAAATTGTATTTTGGTTAGTGACAAAAATAAGGCAGAGTTTATACATGGTTTAATTCTCTTTGAGTCATGTAAATGTCTTCATCTCTTTAAGTCTTTATAGGTTTAGAAAAAAAAGATTGTTAATACTTCTTACATAGTTTAAACTTATCCTTTGTTTTGTATATTATTTTAATATCATGTAATGACTTTTTTTAAACAGGTAAAAGATTTGATCCAGACAACAGAAGTGATGCTGTTTATTGAGGAAGTATATTTAAGCCTTCTGCGTCATCCCGTTTTCTGGAAAATTCAGCTTATCCAGCTGACCCTTCAGCTGCTGTGTGTCTGCGAAGTCAGCTTAACAGTAACTGGGGAATGCTCATCTTTAATTCACCTTTTAGAGCACAGTGTTGAACTTCTGAAGGAGGTAAGGAGAATACGAGATTTTAACACGTCAGTTCTCTTAATTGGGTCTTTCAGTAGCAGGGTGCGTGTGCTCGTTTACTTCATTGATATCAAAGGTGTTTTGATCAAATACCATGAGATCATACTATTAATGTACTACTATTGTCATCTGTTACAAAAACAAGTCATTACATTTGGAGCACCAGTTAAGGGTCTACCACTGTGGCATTTTTTTTTTCCATTTATGTGTGTAGAACGCAAGTCTCGAACACCTATTATATGCCAGACCCTATAGAATACATACATAAAAAGACACTTCCTGTGACCTCAAGAGACTTCCAGACATGCACATAAATAATTTAAGTAACTGGCGTCCAATAAGGTGAATGCTTCTATGGGAGTATATGTAAAGGGCAGCGGGAGTACAGGTTAAGGGAAGTTGGGCATGAGTTCTGATTTGAGGAGGTCTGCCTAGGAGTTTGCCTGATTCAAACCAGATGTTGGGGGGCATTCCAGTTGTGGAATAGCATGTGCTCAAACACAGACACATGAGCAAGCAGAGCAGGCAGGACGTGTTCAGAAGATAACATCTGCCATATTGTTGACAGATGAAGGTGTAGGAGATAAGGCTGGTCTACCACAAAAGGTCTTGCATGCCACATGAATGAGTTTACGATTTTATCTTCTAGGCAATGGCATGCTATTGAAGACCTTTCTGCATAGAGGTGCCCTCAGATTTTTGTATATGAAAGATCGTTGTAGGAGATTGGAGGAGGTTTTAGAGCAGGGCTACACTACTAGGGCAGGAAGTGAGGAGGCATGTCTTACACTGCGGGTCTGGTCTTAAACTACCACAGTGTGCGTGGCTTAAACAACACAAATGTATTTTTCACACATCTGGAGACTAGGAAGTCAAAGAACGGGTGCTGACCAACTGGATTCTGGTGAGGGATCTCCTCTTGGCTTATAGATAGCTGCCTCCTTGCTGTGTTCTCACAGCATGGGGAGAGAGCAAGAGAGAGCTATTATTTCTTTCTAAAAGAACACTAATCTTACTGGATTTTGGCCCCGTTGTTATGACCTCATTTAATTTTTTAATTACTTCTATGCTCCAAATGTGGTCAGCTTGGTAGTTAGGTCTTCAACATATGTATTTGTGTGGCAGAGGCACAGTTCAGTCCATAGCAAGGGACTAATTAGGGGAAGAGAATAGGAAAGAGTAGAAGAGGGTGGAAAAGAGAGTGGGAAAAGAGAGAGGGAGGAGATGAAATCAACAGGGCTTTGTGGCTGATGAGATGGTCAAGGAGAGGTTCCTTGGCAGAGTCTCCACTGTCTCTTGAGCAACTGGAGGGTGCCCTTCACTTTGAGAAATGGTAGCTGATATTGGAGGGAAGAGGATAAATTTGGTTTTAGATATGCTTGGTTTGAGGTGTATATGGATCGTGGATAGTTGGATATGTGCTTTTAAAATTCACGATAGAAGCTTAGGCTAAAGGTATAGATTTGTAGACCTCTACTTCGAGGTGGGAGTTTTACCCATGGGATTACATTACATGGGTTTTCATGGAACTCGAGGGGCTAGAGTGTACTGAAAATGAGGAGAAAGTGTGGCCAGAAGGATTGTATGATAAACAGAAGAGACTGAGGATATGAAAATCAGGGAAAGGAATGTCTCAGAAAGGAGAATGGTCAACAGCGTCATGGAGAGAGTGTTTAAAGTAAGGTATGGAAAGAACTCTTAGGGTGCAATAAATAGAAGTTTATTGTTTACCTTAGAGGAAGCAGTTTCAGTGGAGGGACGGTGGTGAGAACCAAATCAGAATAAAGGAGTAAATGGTAGGTGGGAAACAGAAACTGAATGTAAATTTTAATGGGAAGTGGGAGCCAAGGAAGGCTCAAGTAAGTCATTTGTCAATTTGTCAGTCTTGTGATTAGCATGGTTTTACATCTGCTGGGGCATTGTAGGTAATATTATATATTATATCATGATATATTGGTGTTATATATTATTATGTGTAATAGTAATATATGATATATATTATGTAGTTATATATCTGTTATCTCTGTTATATAATCTGTTAGCTCTAGTATATAACATGTTATATATAACATGATAATCAGTATAGATTAAATGCCTATTCAGATGTATATTTATTGTCTATAATCATACCTATTGATATATAATATATGCTGTATATGATATATTTTATAGATAAGATTTGGAAAACATGTAAAAATACCGTTCTTTTTACATTTTGGATGTTAACCCCTCATCAGATATGTCATTAGCAAATATCTTCTCCCATTCTGTAGGTTGCTTTTTCATTTTGTTAATAATTTCCTTTGCTGTGCAAAAGTTTTTTATTTTGATGCAGTCTCATTTGTTTGTTTTTGCTTTTGTTGTTCTTGTCTGAGGAGACATTGAAAAAATACTGCTAAGACCAACATCGGACTGCTTACTGCCTGTGTTTTCTCCTAGGAATTTTACGGTTTCAGGCTTTAATCCATTTTGATTTTATTTTTGTGTATGGTGTAATGCCGTGGTCTGGTTTCATTCTTTTGCATGTAGCTGTCCAGTTTTCCCAACACCATTTATCGGGAGATTGTCCTTCCCCCATTGTATATTCTTGCCTTTTTTTTGTTGAAGATTTATTGTCCATGTAAGCACGGGTTTATTTCTGAGCTCTCTGTTCCGTTCTGTTGATCAATGTGTCTGTACCATACAGTTTTGATCACTATAGCTTTGTAGTATAATTTGGAATCTGGAAGTGTGAGACCTCCTCCAGCTTTCTTATGATTATCTTGGCTATTTGAGGTCTTTTGTGGTTCCATACAAATTTTAGGATTATTTGTTCTAGTTCTGTGAAAAATTCCATTGGCATTTTGATAGGGATTGCACTGAATCTTTAGATTGTTCTGGGTGTTAGGGACATTTTAACAGTATGGAATATCTTTCCATTTATTTGTGTCTTCTTCAGTTTCTTTCATCAGTGCCTTATTGTTTTCAGAGTATAGGTCTTCGCCCTCCTTGGTTAAATTTATTCCTGTGTATTTTTTTTTTTTATACAATTGTATATGGGTTTTTTTTAAAATTTTCTCATTCTGATAGTTTAGTATTAGTGTATAGAAACACAACAGATTTCTGTATATTGCTTTTTATATCCTTTAACTTTACTGAATTCACTTATTGTAATAGTTTTCAGCAAATAGTAACAGTTTTCTTTCTTTTTAATTTGGATGTCTTTTGTCACTTTTTCTTGCCTAATTGCTGTGGCTATGATTTCCTATACTATGTTGAATAAAGTAGTGACAATGCCATACTTGTCTTGTTTCTGATCTTAGAGAAAGCTTTTAGCTTTCACCATACAGTATGATTTTAGGTGTGGGTTTCTCATATATATCCTATAATATGTTGAAGTATGTTCCCTCTCTACCCACCTTTTTGAGAGTTCTTATCATAAATGATTGTTGAGTTTTGTCAGATGCTTTTTCTGCAACTATTGAGGTGATCATATGATTTTTAGTCTTCGTTCTGTGAAGGTGGTGTATCATGTTGATTTGCAGTTGTTGAACCATCCTTGCATCCCTAGAATAAATCCCACTTGATTATGATACATGATCCTTTCAATAAACGGTTGTATTAGGTTTGCTAATACTTTGTTGAATTTTGCCCATGTGTTCATTAGGGGTATTGGCCTATGGAATTACACAATATTATAATTTAGAACAATAGTGATGCCTGTGAAAGTCATATTTATAGTGTCTTCCTTTTGCTCAATATTTAACAATTTAGAAGGAAGTAAATATGAATAGAACTGTTAAAATACTTGTGTTTTGTAATTTTTTACCCCCACCTCTGGCCCAGTGTTTCTGAGGTTTAACCAAAAAATAAGAAAGAAAAAAAAGCCTAAGAAAACTAATTTGCAAACCTATCTCCTTTAGGGCTACATGCACTGTAATTTGAAACAAAATAAAGTAGAATAAGACATTCTTATTACTGGGGCACCCGGGTGGCTCAGTCAGTTAAGCGTCTGCCTTCGGCTCAGATCACGATGATCCTGGAATCCCAGATCAAGCCCTGAGTGGGGCTCCCTGCTCAGCAAGGAGTCTGCCCCTCCCCCTGCTCCATTTCTCTCTCTCAAATTAAAAAAAAATCTTTAGGGGCGCCTGGGTGGCTCAGGCGGTTAAGCATCTTCCTTCAGCTCAGGTCATGATCCCAGGGTCCTGGGATCGAGTGCAGCATCAGGCTCCCTGCTCAGTGGGGAATCTGCTTTTCCCTCTACTCCTCCTCCCTGCCCGTGATCTCTCTCTCTGTCCTAAATAAATGAGTAAAAAAATCTTTAAAAAAAAAAAAAGACATTCTTATTACCTAGGCTAGGGCTATATCTTTCCTATATCACTGAGTTTACCAGCTGGATATGCACTTCAAATATTAACATTAACTTTTCTTTTCCCCTTTGTTATTTTTATATTCTTCTATTGGAGATGTTTCCTTGCATTGTGAAAATGGATGCATTCCTTATGCTATATTAGTTGCAGTGGATTTAGTCTTGGTTGAGTTATTTTTAGCTCTATTTGAGTGGTTATAACCCAAGGTCCTTTTCATTACTCTTATCAGCAAAGTTAGGCAAAAAATGATACTGATTGTGAGGAGACTGGGTAGCTGTCAAAGGGAAGCAAGAGCTAAACAGTCCATCTTGGGGAAGGCCAGGACCCCGTGCTCTCGAAGACCTCCCCATCAGCTGACTCTGTTCCACTCACCTTTCTTCACTGTGTGTGTCTAAGTACTTAGTGCCTGCATCATTGGTGGTGCGCACTGACAGTCTTTCATTGGAATTGAGGACAGGAAGTGTGGACTCCAAGGTTTGCTGCTATCAAAAGTCCTGTGACATCTGTGGCCCAGTGTAAAGGCATTTCCTCCTCTTTTGTATTTTACTTCCTTGCTCCAGATAGGCTCTGAATTAGCCTGGGTTCCTCCAGAAGTAGTTCCCGAGTTTCCGTAATGTCAAGAGCAGAGCCAGTGTTTCCACAAAAGCCAAGGTTTATGCAACAGGAGTTTATCTGCAAGGGTGATGCCAGGAAGCAAGTGGGAAAGGGACAAGAAGCGTGAAGTGCTGGAAATGGGAGAGGTAATGCAGATATTACCATGTTGTCCAGTGCTATGAACAACCAATTGCTTGATCGCACAGAATATTCTGAGAAGTGTTACGAAATATGTCTCAGAACCCTTCAGAAGGATCCAGATGAAGGAGGGAAGCATTTATCCATGGGCTTCTCTTGTCAATTTGTCAAGCCCCTATGGGGCTTTAACTGTCCTGTCCTCTGGATCTTTCACTAGTCTGGGGCAGAAAGCACAAGTTACAGTAGCAATATGTATAGGGTTACAAATGGCATATGAGATGTTTAACACAGTCTTTTATTAAAAGACATCATGAAGTGCTACTGTTATTTGGTCTCCATTAAAAATCAATCAAACAATAAACTTCTCAGAACTGTAAGCAATTTAAGCTTATTTAGTGTAATCCCCTACTATTCCTTCATTTTGATGCCTTGCTCTCTAGGTCATTTCCTTTCACCCTCCATTCTGAACAGGCCAGTGTCCCCCTTCTTGGAGAATGCCATTTTCACTTGGTCCTTCCCACCTTTAAGTTCCATCCACTTAGGGGCCCTTAGGTGGCCCAGTCAGTTAAGCATCTGACTCTTGATTTCTGCTCAGTCATGATCTCGAGGTCATGAGATTGAGCCTTGCATCAGGCTCTGTGCTGGGCATGGAGCCTGCTTGAGAGTCTCTTTCTCCTTCTGCCCCACCCCCGCATACTCTCTCTCTCTCAAAAGAAAAAGTTCCATCCACTTAGCATGTTCCTAGTACAGATCAGAACCCCAAAATGCTACTTTGTGGCCCTTGCAGTGATAGCTTGTGTGAAAAAGGTTTTCGAGTGTAGCCTTAGTATAAAGTCATACTTTCATTTGTCTCTGATCTTGGTAGCCAGGAAATTTGAAATTTAAATGACCTTGCTGCGTTTTCTTTCTTTTTTAAATGGATATGCAGAATATGAAATGAAATTTAGGAAACGATCATGGCAAAGAATGGTGTGGTGGTATATATAGTAAGTGTACTGGTTTCAAAAATGCATTGATTGTCCTCAAATAGCTGTTGCTTTGTTGTTCTCAACTAAGCACTGAGCAGGTATAGGCTCAAAGACACAAATTAGAAAATATTCCATTAAAACGATTTAATTTTCTTCTTTTGCTGGTTTTTAAAAGTCCATAAACAAGCACTTGGGAAGAGTTTGCTGTTTGTTTTCACTTTTTAAATGGTAAAACTGAGATGTAGCTCTGTATTTATTTTATATTTATTTGTGCCAAAGTTAGTAGCACCTCCAAGATTGTAACTTCTGAGTTTGTCAGACTAGTTTTTCTCCAAGTGTTTTTTTTTAACATGTGGCTCTACCTAACGTTTCTTTCTTTTTTTTTCTTGCCCACCCTCTGATTCATAGATACTTCTGCTCTGCAGTTGCGTGTGTAAAATTTCAGAATGAAGTAATTTTAGCGAAGTGTATTGGACCTTTCTTCTTTAGTTACAGAATATGTTAATGTTTTCTTTATTTAGAAGGCTCAAATAACATCTTGTATCTCTTGTAATTTACTTATTAGAACTTAATATTCACATCCATTTTACTTTTTCATTTCATTGATACACTTGGTGAAAAATAATGATTTTCAGTTTCTGTGGTTATTGCTTTGTTACATTTAAATATGCTTAATAGATTACTGTAATTTAAAAAAAATCTCTGCCTCCTTGGGTATTACTGTTTCTTTTATTAAAATAACATGATTTATTTATTTTTATTTTTGAAGATTTATTTATTTCAGAGAGAGGGCATGCTTGAGCAAGCAGGGTGGGGAGGGGCAGAGGGAGAGGGAAATAAGACTCCCCACTGAGGGTGGAGCCCAACGTGGGGCTCGATCTCTGCACCCAGAGATCATAACCTGAGCTGAAACCAAGAGTGGGATGCTTAATCGACTGAGCCACCCAGGCACCCCAAAATAATATGATTTATTAAAATCATTAAGTGTAGTTCTTTATGTACATTATATAGATGAATCATGCCTATATTAGGTGATTAGACAGTTGATCTACTTTTCAGAAATGAAGTATTCTTTTAGTATTTCAGGTAGTTTTTCACTAATTTGAAAGATTGTTTTTGAATACTTGTCAGTCTGTTCTATTAAGGTATATTCTTTTTAATTATTTTTCTTTTTAAAGATTTTATTTATTTGAGCGGGGGGAGAGAGAGAGAGAGAAAATGAGTGAGGGGGAGGGGCACAGGGAGAAGCAGATTCCCCACGGAGCAGGGAGCCCGATGCGGGACTCTATCCCAGGACCCTGGGACCATGACCTGAGCCGAAGGCAGTCGCTTAACCAGCTGAGCCACCCATGTGCCCAGGCATTTTCTCTTTAAATTAATTTGGTGTATAGCCCCTGCTCTTCGACCAGATATGATAACATTTTGTGTTTTTGCTGTGTGATTGCTGTGGAGTCACCATCCTTCCTGGAGCAGAGCTGGCTTATTGTAAATAACTTTGTACGGTAGGTTGATGATCTTTCATGTTAAATATACTCTTCCTGGATACATGTTACTAAAAGCCATGGCTCTGGGAACTTCTTCAACTCCTTTCTTGTTTTTGTTTTAGGATTTTCCTGTTGAACTGGTCATGATTGGAATAGCTTTACTTCTGCTACAGACTCCAGCAAGTCAGCAGAAACCAATCCTAAGTCTAGGTAAATAAAAATAGCCTCACAAGAGTAAAATGTAACTAGAACATAAGTGTTGGCAGGAGTCTCTTGAGCTACATATTATGCTATCCTAGAAAGTCCTGTATACTTTGAGTTTTTGTTCTAGAATTTTCCTAATTAATCATTCTGAAATAGAACTTTGTTTTTCTTACCGACAAGGTGTTTTGTGCAAAGGCTCCATATACCATAATTTACCAAGTATCTCGGCTGTCCTAAGAGTGAGGAATGGGACTAAAGGCGGGTAAAAATGTTCCATTTAAAAATACGGTATAAAATCAAGTTGATAGGTCTGGCCGATGGCAACCAAGTCACACCTTTAAAATGCAGCTTTTATGCTAATGATGCGTCTCTTTACTCTGGGTAACGTCTATATAGTAATGGAGGATCTGTCTAAATTATGTTGCATGGTGCCATCAAAAAAAAAATGAAATCTTGCCATTTGCAACAACGTGGATGGAACTAGAGGGTATTATGCTAAGCGAAATAAGTCCATCAGAGAAAGACAATTATCATATGATCTCACTGACATGTGGAATTTGAGAAACAAGGCAGAGGATCATAGGGGAAGGGAGGGAAAAATAAAACGGCGAAACCAGAGAGGGAGACAAACCATAAGAGATTTTTTTTTTTTAAGATTTTATTTATTTATTTGACAGCGAGAGAGGGAATACAAGCAGGGGGAGTGGGAGAGGGAGAAGCAGGCTTCCCGCTGAGCAGGGAGCCCGATGCGGGGCTCGATCCCAGGACCCTGGGATCATGACCTGAGCCGAAGCAGATGCTTAACGACTGAGCCGCCCAGGCGCCCCAAGAGACTCTTAATCTCAGGAAACAAATAGGGTTGGTGGAGTGGTGGTGGGGAGTGGGAGGAATGGGGTGGCTGGGGGATGGACACTGGGGAGGGTATGTGCTCTGGTGAGCGCTGTGAATTGTGTAAGACTGATGAATCACAGACCTGTACCCCTGAAACAAATAATACATTATATGTTAATAAAAAAAACAAAAATTAAAATAAATTGTTGCATGGTGCCATGATCTGCCAGTACATCCCCACTCTCATTTTAAAGTGCTTAAAGAGGTAGATACTGATTGTGTAGCTCATTGTGGGCCTTTTAATTCATCATGATTTTGAGGGTGAATTCCTTTTCCACTTACAGTCTGTCTTAAGAATGGCTGTAGCACGCAGAGGGGGCCCTTGGCTTCCTGCACTCTTTTTGTCTATTGGCCTTGTGCTCATTTGTGCCCTCCTCCTGAGGCTCTTTCTGAACTGCTTTTGCCTTTTTTGTTGATGATGTTGTTCTCCTAGCGGTGCACATGGCATCTTCCCAGAGGTATAATTTGCCAGGGTTGGTACTTCTGACAGCCATAGGTGGTGGTGGTTTTTTTTTTCTCTTCTATTTTTTAATTTAAATTCAATTAATTAACATAGTGTATTATTGGTTTCCAAGGTAGAGGCCAGGGATTCATCAGTCTTATATAACACCCAGTGCTCATTACATCACATGCCCTCCTTAATATCCATCACCCAGCCACCCCATCCCTCCCACCCTCCTCCCCTCCAGCAACCCTCAGTTTGTTTCCTATGATTAAGAGTCTCCTATGGTTTGTCTCCCTCTCTGATTTCGTCTTGTTTTATTTTTTCCTCTCTTCCCCTATGATCCTCTGATTTGTTTCTTAAATTCCACACATCAGTGAGATCAAATGATAATTGTCTTTCTCTGATTGACTTATTTTGCTTAACATAATACCCTCCAGTTCCATCCACTGACAGCCAGGGTTTTGTTTTCTTTTTTAAACAGTTTTATTGAGGGGCGCCTGGGTGGCTCGGTCATTGGGCGTCTGCCTTCGGCTCGGGTCATGGTCCTGGGGTCCTGGGATCGAGCCCCGCATCAGGCTCCCCGCTCGGAGGGAAGCCTGCCTCTCCCTCTCACACTCTCCCTGCTTGTGTTCCCTCTCTAGCTGTTTCTCTCTCTGTCAAATAAATAAATAAAAATCTTTAAAATAAAATAAAAAAAATAAACAGCTTTATTGAGGTATAGTTTACTTACCATAAAGTTTACCATTTTTAAGTGTACAATAAAGTGGCTTTTTTAAAAAATGAATTTACAAAGTTGTGCAACCATTACTACAGTCTAGTCGTAGAGCATTTCTGTCATCCAGTATGTTATGTTGAAAAGTAGGGAAGATCGGCTCTTTAGTATATTGGGAAAGAGTGTTCAAATAGGATAACCAAGAAGATATTGGTGATTTCAAATTTGACAAATGCACAGCATTAATACAATGTTATGCTTCTTAATTATTAACACTAGCCTTGATTGTAAATAGCAATTTATAAAAATGTCTGGAAGATTTATAATAAAGACAGAAATGTGTACATTTCCTGTTTTATTAAAGATAATGGATTTTCATAATCTCTCAGGGACAATTATGGATTAAGACTAACATTTCGATTGGAATGATACAGAAAACATTTGCATGCCCCCTGTACGAAGATACATGCACATTCGTGAAGGTTCCGTATTTTTAAAACTTAATAAAAAAAAAGACTAATATTTTGGCAGAAAAGGTCAATTAGCAGTGTTAGAGTAACAGGTGTTTGTACTTCATACCATGTTCAGGTTTGACTTCCAAAAGATGAAAAGAAAATATTGGCAACTCACTGAGATGACTTAAAACTTGTAGACTTTTTTTGGTGTTGTGGGGAAATTGATTGATAATCTAGCTCAGAAGCCTGTGAATAACATCTTTTGGTAAATTAGGGTTCAGATAATTGTGAAAAATATATTTCTGCTTTAACTCATTCTGTTAATGGTCTGGGGGAGATTATATATGTGAGTAAGGTATCGCACATTTGTGTGTGTGTTTCTGATGTGTAAGTTGAGTGTCCATGTTAAAAAAAAAGAATCATTTATGAAAATGGGTTTGATTGTTGCTGGTTATGGACTCTGAGACTTTTCCTGCACACAGCAATTACTGTGACGGACATCCCTGCTTCACCTCATTTACTAATGCATCTCAATATAATTCTCACCTGGGTTTATAAGGGAAGCATGCACATTGGTCTTCAAATCCACTGATCAGGAACTCAGGTCTTTTGGCTCGTTGAGAGCAGTGGAAGGACTGGACAATATAAGGACAACAGTTGAATTGTATTTTATTTATTTTTAAAGATACTATTTTTTTATTTTAGAGAGAAAGAGAATGCAAGTGTGTGTGTGGGAGGGGTAGAAGGGGAAGGGCAGAGGGAGAGGGAGAGAATCTCAAGCAGACCCCACACTGAGCATGGAGCCTGATGTGGGGCTTGATCTCAGGACCCTAAAATCATGACCTGAGCCGAAACCAAGAGTCGGATGCTCAACTGACTGAGCTACTCAGGTGCCCCAGCTGAACTGTATTTTAAAGAAAGTCATATTTACTTAGAGAGTTGGTTTATACTTTATGGTATGTATTTTCTCTAAGAGTATCCTGAAGTTATCAGGAACATACATTAACAGCTTGTTTTAGATAATCGTTAATTTTTATGTTCCTTTCTAAAAGGATAAGATCCATTCTCTTAGTTATGTGTCTGACCCAGTTGTAAAGGGGTAAGAAAACTTTTTGCATATCACTCTTAAACAAAGTAGCACTTGGTTGGATTGTGGTAGTCATTTTTTAAATGTGAATTGTTGTTTTGATGAATAGCTTTGAAGCTCCTCTCTGTTGCTGGGGGTCAGAAAATTCCAAGGTCATCCTGGGTGCTAGTGATGCCAGTTCTGCAGATACTGTCTTCTACTGCCTTGGAAGACTGTATATCCATGCATGAAGAAGGTCCTTCGAGGCAACAGTTGGCTTTGAACCTTTTGGAAATGGTACAGCAGGAGTCCTACAGAGATGACCACCAAAAGGTAATGAGTTCAGCCTTGTTTCTCTTATTTATGTTTTTAAAGATTTTGTTTATTTATTTGAGAGAGAGAGCGATTGAGAGACCGTGTGGGAGGAGGGGCAGAGGGAGCAGCAGACTCCCTGCGGAGCAAGGAGCCCGACGCGGGACTCGATCCCAGGACGCTGGGATCATGACCTGAGCCGAAGGCAGCCGCTTAACCAACTGAGCCACCCAGGCGCCCTTGTTTCTCTTAAATAAAGGCGAAGTGGTAAATGTGGGACTGCTGTTCGTGCAGATAATCTCACCTCCTGATGAAGTATGTTTGGGTTTAAACTCCTCCCCTTGAACTTTACCATTCTGTCAGGCAGTGATGTAGCTATTAGTATATTCTTCTGGACTGTGAGAGGGGAGTGTAAAATAAGTTTTGGAAATACTGTATAATCTTTTTCCTCTTTGAGTTTTCTTAAAAAAAAATTTTTTTTTTAAGATTTTGATCTATCAGAGAGAGAGAGAGTGCAAGCACAAGTAGGCACAGCGCCAGGCAGAGGGAGCAGGAGAAGCAGGCTCCCCACTGGGCAGGAAGCCCGATGTGGGGCTCAACCCCAGGACCCCGGGATCATGACCTGAGCCGAAGGCAGACGCTCAACCGACTGTGCCACCCAGGCGTCCCTTTCTTTGAGTTTTCTGATATTAGTTGTTAAAGGTCCTGAGAAATCCTGCAGAAAAGGAACTAGTTCTGTTTAACCTGTTGCTCCTCCAACACATTTGAGCAAGGAATCCTTTTTTCTTATCATATTCTTTAATTTAGCATTTTATGCAGCATGTTGTTACATCTGGGACAATCCAAGGTGGGAAATCTCCTCAAATGCCTGAAAATTCTGGGATCTGTGAGACCTAAGACTTGATTTTTTAATATGTGGCACCTTAGGCCATTTTCCTTGGCAAAATGGCTCTTGATGTATCCTGCGTGGTCCCCTCCATTGCTACCTTCACTTGGAAGACTGCCGGTCTCTCACGCTGCATCCCTGTTCCCCTTGCTACACAGACCTCAGTCGGCTTTGTCCGTCTCACCGTTTCTGTCATGATAATGTAAAAGTATTGTCAACGTCTGGTTAGTGGCTGGGTTCTGGGCCCACGTTGGTTAGACATTTTCTCTTGGCATTTGAGTATTGCCTTCAGTAAAATGTAGTATTACTTTCCCAGCTATGAATTTGATGGGGATTGAATGAGCATTAAAGCAGTAAAACTGGTGAAACATCTTATGTCTCCACGGAGAAAGATAGTATATAAATGCAGGCGAGAGCCAGTCGTTTCATCTACAAAAGCAGGCATGCATCTAATCGTGTGTTGTTAAATGTGCTAGCAACAAAAATACAGGCACTGTAATTCCTGGTTTGAGGGCGCAGCAGAAGCTAGCCTATAGGCAAATTGACCATACTTTACAGCATCTGAATTCCTAATTGCTTGTCTAAAACTTTCAAACTTAAAGTAGATAACTGAGTTGCATTAAGAGAAGGAAATTTTTGCCTCTGCCCCGATAGGACAGAATGTGGCCCAAATTTTCTAATAGCCTTTTACTTTCTGTTGTGGTTTGCTCCTGATTGGGTTCTGGATGGGCATGGGGACAGGGCAGGATGTACTGATATCTGAGAGTTCCGTTCTTTCAGCTCACATGTGATACTTACTGAGAGTCGCCCTGACTCTAATTCATGAGCACTCGCTTTATTATTCGCTCACGTGTGTGAATCTTACTCATTAACACTAATAGCTGGACTTTCTCTTCAGCAGCTTGTGTAGGGGGAAGAGGAAGGGATACTATTAGGGCTATAAACATTCTCCTGATGATAACGTGCTGCTTTATGGAGGCTTGGAGTGGAGACATGATCACCGTTTTTAAAATTGCAAGCCACAGTTTGCTGTTGGCTTTTCTTCCGCGCCTGTCCAGGCCTCTATATTCCAAACACACCTATAAATTTAACAGGATGCAAACTCTCCACGTCTCTCTCTGAATCTTTGCTTTTGCTCACAATGTTCTTCTGTCTCCTTTGCCTTGACTGCTCATTCCTTAAGACCCAGCCAAATGTTCTCAGCCTCCCGGAGTCCAAATTCATGACCTTCTTCTTGGCATCCCCAGCTCTTTTAATATTACTCAGTTGTGTTGTATCTTAAGTAAGAGGGCTACATATATGTTCTGCAAACTCATTGAGGGAAAGGATCTTGGCCCTTCTCACACTTGGCCTGTATTTTCTAAGCATGTTGAAATTGAAATTGCAACAGTTGTTGAACTTTTTGTGTTTTTTTCCACATGAGTGTTTTTGCTTTATCGTTGTCACATGATCATAGATGAGAGCATTCAAAGTCTTTTAGCCAGTTGTTAATGGAATACTCTGATTTTCCACATACTTAAATAAGCTAGGGTGTTATCTATTTAACTTTGCATCCCCAACACCTGACACATTGTTTACCACATGATAGACATTCAGTAAATTTCTATTCACTGAGGGATGTGTGCTTCTCATAAGGATATGGAAGATTGTTTTACCATCTCCACATATTATAGAAAGACCTTTGTATAAAACACAGATCTTGTTGCTTTTTATTATTTCTTTTTGGATGGGTGACTCTGACTTAGCATGTTTGATTTAGAACTAGAGCACTTCTTTTTTTTTTTTTTATTTGACAGAGAGAGAGACAGCCAGAGCAGGAACACAAGCAGGGGGAGTGGGAGAGGGAGAAGCAGGCCTCCCGCCGAGCAGGGAGCCCGATGTGGGACTCGATCCCAGGACCCCAGGACCCCAGGATCATGACCTGAGCCGAAGGCAGAAGCTTAACGACTGAGCCACCCAGGCGCCCCAGAACTAGAGCACTTCTTAGGAAGCACAATTCCTCTGGGGAATGAAAATAAGGTTAAATGTTCTGTACCACACAATTCTGTATTCCCTATCCATTTCTGAAGTGTTGATAACCATGAAATGAAACACGTTTTAACTTCCAATTTCTAAGAATTAAAAAATGTAAGCTATCAAAACAACCACTCATCTTCTTTTAAAAATTAACATAATCTGGGGCGCCTGGGTGGCTCAGTTGGTTGGGCGACTGCCTTCGGCTCAGGTCATGATCCTGGAGTCCCTGGATCGAGTCCCGCATCGGGCTCCCTGCTCGGCAGGGAGTCTGCTTCTCCCTCTGGCCCTCCCCCCTCTCATGTGCTCTCTCTCTCCTCTCATCCTCTCTCTCAAATAAATAAATAAATAAATAAAATCTTTAAAAATTAACATAATCTAATAAGCTTTTAATATTTTTTAGTGGTGTGTGGAAAACAGGATTCCTTCTATTAGGCTATTAAATGTGATATTTAAAACCACCTATTTGTGTTTTCATAGGCTAAAAAAAAAAATCCAGACACTAGTTGTAAATTCTAACGTGCTTAAAATCTTTGTGCCCCAGCCCCCAGAGAATGTGGGGGGAGAAAGAAAACACCAGGGTATGAGTCTGGGTCTAGGCAGGAGAGAGAGACTGTGCTGGTAATGTGAACAAAGAAAAACTTAATACAAAGAATTATTAACTAGTAAACGGTCTCCAGTGACTAAAAGTTATAAAAGAGGTTCTAAGGAATATTGCATTAATAAAAGTAAGGAGCAGCTACTACTTCTAGGACTGGAGAGATTGATTACCCCAGGAAGGAATGGAGAGGTTCTCCCTACTCAAGACTGAGATCAGACTTTGTAGAAAGAATGTGGCGGTGGCTTGCTGGATGGTGACATTCTTTGGGGTGCCTCAGGCCAGAGCTGGTCTGTAGGAAGTCACCCCCTGGGGTGTGAATTGGGTGGCCTGTGTCCTCCACAGGAAGACACCTGCTGGGGTCTCTTGAATGCCCCCTGGCAGACACAGTAGGAGAAATCCCTGAATAATATTCCAATGTATGGATATACACCACATTTTACTTTTCCATTCATCTGTTGATGAACTTTTGGGTTGTTCTCATTTTTTGGCTATTATGAATAGTGCTGTTATGAACCTTCCTATACAAGTTTTTATGTGGACATGGTTTCATTTATCTTGGGTAGATACCTAAAAGCGGAATTGCTAGATCATACGGTACTCTGTTGGAGGAACTGCCAGACTGTTTTCCAAAGGGACTATGTCATTTTACGTTCCCACCAGCCCACCAGCTGTGTATGAAGACTCCAGTTTGTCTGCATCCTTGCCAACACTTGTCATTGCCTCTGTTTTTGCCTCTGGCGGGTGTGAAGTACCTTTTCATTATGGTTTTCATTTGCATTTTCCTGATGACTTCTTAGAATACTCCCTTGACAAGTGAGGAACCTGAGGCTAGACAGGTTAAGTTGCCCAAATTACACAGGTAGTGAAGGATAGAGTTGAGATTCAGATTTTTGACTGTTTAAATATAGAGCCTATATCCTACTGCTCCAGTTTGATTTTTTCTTTTGGTAATTTGTCATCTTTGTGCTGAACTTGCAAGTAAATAGAACAGTTGCAGATTTACAGGCTAACACTAAGTCATAGTACATTAAAATAAACTGGCTTCTTAAAAACTTCTGGTTGGAAGTTAAAAGGAGTTAGTAAGTCTTAGATCTTGTACATCTACCATCGTCTTCTGAATAACATGGATACTGAGAACGGTGTGGGTTGTCCTTTGGTGATAAGCAGCCCTCCCAAACCTCTCCACTCTTGACTAGATTCTTTATAGAGGTATAGAGCAGAAAGAGCCTCTTGAGGCTTTGTCTAGTCCAGTCTTCTGCTTCTGCTCTGGTGAGTGATTAAATCCCTTCTAGCAAAAATCTGTCCTCCTTTCAAGGGGCTCCAGGTTTGAGTTTCCATACTCCCTCTCCTGATCAAGTCCTGGCTCCACTTTGGTTAAGCCTATTTTCATCACTATTACAGATGAGTGTTATTCTTTTTTTTTTTTAAAGATTTATTTGAGTGAGAGAGTGCTTGGGAGAGTAGGACCATAGAGGAAAGGGCAGAGGGAGATGGAGAGGGAAAGGGTCCCAGGGAGACTCCCTGCTGAGCATGGAGCCTTACTTGGGGCTTCATCCCAGGACCCTGAGACCATGACCCGAGCTGAAGCCAAGAGTCGGACGCTTAACCGACTGAGCCACCCAGGGTGCCGTAGATGAGTATTATTCTTTAAAGTTAATGAAAATCTGTATTGTTCACTGAACACACAATTTCTTTTTCAGACTCCTTTAGGCAAAGAAGTACTATCAGATACCTGTCTTATTGTTAACACTTAACAGACTTGAACATTTTTATTACGAGCTTTTTCGAATAAAGATTCTCAACTAATACCTGTAAAAGATGTTTTACAACCATTTAATACTAATTTAAATGTTATTTTTTTATGGTGTCTTGTCTCTTGCATTTTTTTACTGAGATGTAATTCACCTAACATAAACCTCTTTTATTTTTAAACACCTGCTTTCTCCTCTAAAACAGAGCCCGCTAGCACTTTCAGCGCCCCCTCCTACCCCTCGTGGGGGCTGTGGGGCCAGGATTTGGTAGCTGGTGCTCAGAGAAAGCCCCAGGCCGCATCCTTGCCCTGGGACTGTGCCAAGGGCAACTGTCACCCACTGGGACAGAGACCCTGTTCTGGGATGTCTCATTCAACACTGTGTTTTTCTCCTGCTGTTCGAACCTTAGGCAAACAGACAAAAAACAGAGCCTAACCATCAACATAATACTTCAAGTAAAACAGGATTACTTTCCTGTTTCAGTATGTTTACTCTTACCCGTCTGGGTAATGTTGCTGCTTTTGACTCAATTTATGGTTGATGGTGATTTCCAATTACTTTCTTTTATACTCCTATCCACCAGCTTTATTTTTCTCTCCAAAAGATGACAGAGATCATATTTATTTGTATTTTGCAACTTTAGAGACTGTGCTAGGTGCTTTATTGTGTCATTATCTACCTCAATAATCTTGGTAGGAAGGTAGTCATTACTTCCATTTTGCAAATGAGCAAAGTGAGGCTCCGAGATTGTATAATAGCCTCTAGCTGGCATGGCTCTGCTAAAGTCCTGGTCTTTTAAATCTCAAGTCCAATGCTGTTTGTCCTTTGTCTGAAGAACTTGACTCTGGTCTTCAGTGCATTTCATCTTTGGGTTGGGGAAGTATTTTTAGAGAGAAAGAGCTATAATAAATGTAAATATTTAACTTTAAAAATTTATTATTTTAGGGGTGCCTGGGTGGCTCAGTCGTTAAGCGTCTGCCTTTGGCTCAGGTCATGATCCCAGGGTCCTGGGATCAAGCTGTGCATCAGCCTCCCTGCTCAGCGGGAAGCCTGCTTCTCCCTCTCCCACTCCTCCTGCTTGTGTTCCCTCTCTCTGTCTCTCTCTGTCAAATAAATAAATCTTAGAAAAAATTTATTTTAAAAAATTATAACACATTGAAGTGGTTCAAAAAATTATAAAATGGTATACAATGAGAAGTTTCCTTCTCACCCTTGATTCTGGTTGCCCAGTTCACATCCTCTCAAATGGAAAATTAGTAGCTGTTAATTTCTTTTGTATTTGTCTCATAATTTTCTTTGCATATATAAGCAAATATAAATATATCGTCCCCACCCCCTTTAAAAAAATAATTGGTAGCATTCCAGGCACAATGTCTGCATCTTGTATTTTCATGAGAGCTCTTTTCATGTCAATAAAGATAGCTTCCTCATTTGTTTTTACAGTGGGGTTTGCTTTCAAATGGTATCTCTGCTCTAAAGCATATACTTGAGACAATTGAGCATCTATGTCCTCACAAAAACTTTTATAGGACTATTCATAGCAGCATTATTCATAATAGCCAAAAAGTGGAAACAACCTGATGTCTATTAATTGGTGAATGATAAAAATGTGGTATATCCATTCAATGGAATATTACTTGCCAACGAAAAGAAATGAAATGTTGATACAATCCACGGCCTCGATGAACCTTGAAAACCTGCTGTGTGAAAGGAGCCAGTCACCAGAAAACACTATTATATGAAATAGCCAGAATAGAAACAAAGTAGATTAATTAGTGGTTGCCTGGGGCTGCAAGGGTGGTGTTGGTGGAATGAGGAGTGACTGTTAATGGGTATGGGGTTTCCTTTTGGGGTAATGAAAATTAGCCATGGTGATGGCTCTACTATGCCATGAATTACTAAAGGTCACTGAGTTGTAAACTTTAAAAGGATGGGTTTTATGGTATGTGAATTGTATCTCAATAAAGCTGTTATTTAAAAAAATTTCAGAGGTGCCTTGCTGGCTCAGTCGGTAAAACATGCGACTGGATCTCAAGGTCATGAGTTCAAGCCCCATGCTAGCTGTGCTGCCTACTTTAAAAACAATTTTTTTTTTATAAAGCTTAATTTTTTTTTAAAGATTTTATTTATTTATTTGACAGAGTACAAGCAGGGGGCACAAGACGCAGAGGGAGAGGGAGAAGCAGTCTTCCCGCTGAGCAGGGAGCCCGATGCAGGACTCGATCCCAGAACCCTGGGACCATGACCTGAGCCTAAGGCAGATGCTTAACCATCTGAGCCACCCCGGCGCCCCTATCTAGCTTAATTTTTACTTCCCATCCTTTCAGTTGTTCTGTATAAGTCAGTCTCTCATAACAGAACAGTTATAATCTAGATATTTCTAATTTGTTCCATCACACTCTGAATGAATTGAATCTTTTTATTAGCAGGCAATATTTAAAGCTTCTTTAATGTCTCTGACTTCTCCTGAGCCATGTGGGCACACTGCTCACCTTGGCAGAGTTCTGTCTATTCTCTGTTCCTGACGGCACTACTTTATTTCCATGAAGAGTCCTTTCTCAGATCAACTTAAGCATAACCTCTTCTTTGGGTATCATTTCAATTTAGAGCTTTCAGGCTATTTAAGATTTTTATTATTTATTTATTTGACAGAGAGAGAGAGACAGCGAGAGAGGGAACACAAGCAGGGGGGGCGGGAGGGGGAAAAGCAGGCTTCCCGCTGAGCAGGGAGCCCGATGCGGAGCTCGATCCCAGGCCCCCGGGATCATGACCTGAGCTGAAGGAAGACGCTTAACGACTGAGCCACCCAGGTGCCCCTGTCAGGCTATTTCTTATTGCAGAAGTTATTCCCAGCTATTAATTCCCAGGTTCCAGCTGAACCAATGCTGTTCCTGTCAACATACTGTCTGTTACAAAAACGAATTGTCTTCAGTCCAGGTCTGCCACCTGCCCGGGGTTGTCTCTTACTGGAGCTGGAGCTGGGCAAATACAGTGACTTTTTTTTTTTTTTTTTTTAAGATCTTCCCTCTCACGGGGCACCTGGGTGGGACAGTTGGTTGAGCCTCCGAATCTTGATTTTTGGCTTGGGTCATGATCTCGGGATCCTGGGATTGAGCCCCGTATTGGGTTCCACACTCAGTGCAGAGTCTCTTTGTCCACAACAACCTCCCCACCCCCTGTGTGTGCACTCTCTCTCTCAAATAAATAAATAAATAAATAAATAAATAAAATCTTAAAAAAAATCTTCCCTCTCACTGGTGAATACTTTAGTGCTAATAGGTTTTTTTTTTTTCCCAAACTCCATTGCCTCTGGACCTTGTATATTGATCCTTTTTTTTTTTTTTCTTGCCTTAACTAGGAGTGAATGGTAAATAGGTTGAAATCAGGTGTTCTAGAGTTCCATCTGTTTTCTTTTGGTGTAATCCTATTAGCTCAGATATGTGCACAGGAGTTTTTGGCAGAAATCGAAAATTCTGTACTTTGTGGGAAGGATTGATTTCTTAAAATGAAGTATAAAAAATACATGACTATATCTCTGACAGATATACCTACCTCATTTATTCATGCCTGTTTTTGTTGGTTTTTCAGCTCTCCTACAAGCTCGCGTTCCCCATAACCAGCATGTATGGATCAATATTTACAGCCTGGAGGATCCTTGAAGTAATGAGAGAAGAGTCTGCGGCCAGTGACTGGCTGTTTTCCATAGAGTCCTTGCTCCCTATTACCACAGTGATCCCTGTGCATGTTTTCCTTTTGTTGGCTCACCTCCTTGTTGAAGATCAAGGACAGAATCTTCGCCAGATACTGAAGGTCACTACATTATTAGCCCAAGCAGATTCCTCTCAGGTAAAGTAAGAAAATAATGCAACAGTAATGGGGGTTAAGCTTAACTTTTGGGATTGTAGATTATTCTTCGTTTGCGGATTATTTTGATCAAAGTTTTAAATTATGGGTTGATTCTTTTTTTGGGGGGAGTTTGGGGGGCTATTTTTATCTTCTCCATTTGTTCTTTTTTGTCCTTATTCTGAATTAATGAGTACTTTATGCAAACATTTCTTTAATGAAACCACATTTCACTGTGAAATCTACACATGATGCTATTCTGGTATTATGGTTTATTCGTAGATTTGCTCATTTGTTAACACTTTTGTTGACTCTTGTAGCCTATTCCAAGGTGAATATCCCTTAGTTCTAATATTGGTCTTTTATTTTTTAAAAAAGATTTTATCAGAGAGGGAGAGAGCAAGCGCAGACGTGGGGGAGGGGAGGGCAAAGGGATTGGGAGAAGCAGACTCCTCGCTGAGCAGGGAGCTCGACATGGAGCTCCATCCCAGGACCCTGGGATCACGATCTGAGCCGAAGGCAGATGCTTAACCGACCCAGCCGCCCAGGCGCCCCTAATATTGATCTTTTAAAGTGGATGCAGATTAATTTAGGGTAAAGATGGCTGTGCAGTAGGCATTCATCTCTTTTTGACTTTTGGCAATTTGATCCTATCTTCATTCAGTCTTTAATAAACTAAAGAATCCTGGGTCCTTGCTATGTATGGTAATGCTGAACATGCTGGGATATGGGGGTAAATGATCATTTTTCCTATCTGCACAGAACTTGGAGTGTAATAAGCTATCAGAAATTAATAAGATTCCCCTCCCCCTTTAAACTAACCATATATTTGGTAAAATAATCTAATTCTTTCCCATTGGGTAGACCAAAGGGAAGGGTTTCCTAACCAAATAGCTATGGTATGTGCTTATGCTTCTTTCTAAACACGGTGAAGAAAAAGTTCATCTCTTTATGGAAAATTTGTGTTCCTTTAGGAAATAGTTGTAGAGGTGGGATAAATATGTTTATCTAAGATATGAAGTTAATGTATTTGGATTCTTTTTATCCCCAACTTGTCATGCTCATTCCTTTTACTCAAGTAAACAACTGCTGGTCACAAAAAGTTTTCCTTCTGACTAGACTTCCTGTGGTCTGATTCTCCACGTGGATCTGTGATGTTCTCAAAGTACCTTTGTGTCATATACGGTGTGGGCATAATGTGAATCATTTCACTTTGTTTCCCACTTTATTTCTCCCTTCACCTTCTATAATAAATGCTTCTAATAAATGCTTTGTTTCAGTGCAGACACCTTATAGGATAATATCTTTATAATAGTTAATGCATAGATAATGCCTGGAGATTATCTAAAGAAGTGCTATAGTAAGTTACCCGACCTCTGTATGCCACTCATGTAAAACAATATATTACATCAAATTATGTGTTGATACTCAGGAAATGCATTGGTCTTTGAAATTCTAGGGTGATACTTTTGGTTATAAGTAACAGAGACACATCTGTCTTAAATAGCTTTTATTAGCTCCAGAATTTAATTCAAGCATGGCCTAGATAGTATATTCACTGTATAGTTTCTTTGTTTCCTCTGTGAATTGGCTGGCAGCCCAAAGCCTTCTAACCTTATATTCCGTCCAAAAGGAAGAGAGATGTAGAGGTATTCGGATTGACCTTGTTGGGTCATGTGCCCACATTGAATCAACCGTTACGGCAGGATAATGGGACACTTTAATGCACTTTAATTGGCCATCGTGGGTAGAATGGAAGTGGGTGAAGTGTCAGCCCTGAAATTGTCTGTGCCACCAGGATCATGTGGGTTGAGGATGGGATGATTCACCAAAGGAAAAATAGTTTCCTGGAAATAAAAGTGGGAATATGCTAAATAGGCAAAAAATGTAGCAGAGAACTTCTCAGTGTTCTGGGAATGCTGAAATGGTATAAGTGCATTTCAGGTGTGCCAAGAATATCTCCCCTCTGAGCTCTCAGGCAGCCAGGTAGCTGTCCAAGCGCGGGGTGCTTGGCTGATCGCCTCTGGCCACCTGGTGTTTCAGATAGTTACCCCACTGTCCTTAGAAACGTGATTTTCATGTATGCCATGAAATGGAAAAGGTTGGGAAGTACTAGAGTGACCATCAGGTTTATTTCTTTATTCAGTAAAAGTTTAAGAAGCAGTGGGAGAAATCGAAGTCGGTATGTTATACTTCTGTTGATTATTTCTTGGATAGTTTTGAAAGAAATGAGAGTGTCATTGTGCTGTCAGGATGAATAGTAGGGTGAAATGCTTAAAGAGTTATTCAAATTCATGCATAAGCAAAGGCAGTATCATTAATAAGAACTTAGAAGTGGAGTTGTTGTGAAAAGGACAGAAGAAGTATCCTTGAACTAGGAGATACTGTGTTTTTGTTTTTCTTTTCATATTTATTCATTTATTTGAGAGAGAGAGAGAGAGAGCAGGGGAAGGGGCAGAGGGAGAGAATCTCAAGCAGACTCCCTCCTAAACACGGAGCCCGATGCGGGGCTCAATCCCACAACCCCTGAGATCATGACCACAGTCGAAATCAAGAGTCCAACACAACTGACTGAGCCACACAGGCGCCCTTAGGAGATACTGTTATTTTCCTCACTTTTTATGAAGTGACCATTTCATATCCTCTCACTGGACCTTAGTTATAGGTAAAGTAGCCAAAAGGAAAGGACTTTATATTTGGAAAAAGCCAATTTTCCAATTGTGAGTAGGAATAGACTCAGTTGAAATGAGTTATGATTGTAATCTGTTATTGGCGGGTTGTTTCTATTTCTTTTATTAAGTTGACAAGTCTGCATGAAATGTATTAATATTTCATGTGTGTTTGTCCTTTCTCACCTTATAGAAAGAAGCTATATTATGTTTAAGCAATCTTTGGCTAGATTCATGGGCAGTTGATGCTAAGATTGATTGATTGACTGATTGGTTTGGGAGAGAGAGAGAGAGACAGAACAGAGGGACAGTGAGAGGAGGAATCAGACTCCCTGCTGAGCAAAGAGCCTGATGCAGGGCTCGATCCCAGGACCCTGAGATCATGGCCTGAGCCGAAGGCAGATGCTTAACCAACAGCCACCCAGGCGCCCCTCATGGGCAGTTGATAGGAAACAAAAGTCTTAGACTACTAATAAGCAGTAGCTAAGTAAATAGGTAGGTAAGAGTAGGAATTTCAAGGCTGTCTTCCATCTCTGTTTTGGTGGTCACTTAACCTCTATGGTAGAATTTGCTGGTCTGCAGTATGCTTACTAAGTATTGAGTTTGTGTGTCACCATGATTTATTGAAAGAATCCTACTGTAAGATCTTGTGAGAAAAAGTATTTCAAAAGTTTGGAAGAGATGAAGTATGTTTTGGTATGCTTGTTATTATTATTCTAAGATATTAAATTACGTTTAGTGCTGATCTTATTGGTAGTACAAGTCATGTTATATTAGTGTTCATACTGGTAAGAAATGGGCTTTTTAAAATGCTGTGATTGTGTTACTTCTTACTTATCCTGCAGTTTGATGGATCCTCTTCCTCCATGAGTTTTCATCCTTCATCTCTCACCTGGTTCCCATGGGGCATGCATTTTCCATGTGGTTTAATAGCTTTAGGGTCATGGAAGACTAATGGAGTTAAGTGGTCTGAAGGGAACTTGGCTTTGTGAGTATCATTTTAGAATTAACTAGATGCAGATGATGGTGTTAAAATAACCAGATAATTAACCAAAGCCATAGCAATAAATTGACACTTGAAAAAAATAGGAACCCCCCCCCCCCCGCCATCTAGGAGTGCTGTCATTAGTTACTAATAATCCTAATAGTTTTCTTCTTATAGTTTTCTTACCCAGACACCATGAGGTTGAATTTGCAGAAGACTCAAGTTCAGGTCAGGCAGCACTCAGTAAAAGTTTCCTTTTACATGCTTGGTGGGAATGTCTTTTTTTTTTTTTTTAAAGATTTTATTTATTTATTCATGAGAGAAAGGGAGAGAATGAGAGAGAGAGAGGCAGAGGCAGAGGGAGAAGCAGGCACTCTGCTGAGCAGGGAGCCCGATGCGGGACTTGATCCCAGGACCCTGGGATCATGACCTGAGCCGAAGGCAGATGCTTAACCATCTGAGCCAGCCAGGCGCCCGGTGGGAATGTCTGCTAGTGTTCTGGGGAGAGATCCAAGAATGAGCATCCTGTGCAAATTCCCGTGGAAGTCTTGGAAGTTTTAAACACATCAATTTAGTTTAGAGAGAGTTTTTCATATCATAGCCTGTGCTTATAATAAATGAGAATGCCATCTATTTCCTAAATTAGTGTTTTTTCTGGAAATAAAAGTTGACAGATTGGTGTGGTTTTTGGTTATGTTTATATAATAGTTCCTGCCTTTCTGATACTGAGTAATGTTATTTTCCTTCATTTTGATGAAAGTCATTCCGACTGCCTTCAGAGATGCCTGAACAAGAATTGAAGCACATGGCTCATGTACAGTAATGTCCAGTTGGCCTTATTCTTTCCTTTTCAGAGAGCTATTTCCTACCTCTGTGAATTGTTCAAGACCTGGTTTCATCAGGTGTGAAATCAGTGGTAGTGAATTGTAAACATGGACTTTACCGAGTTAATTAAGGGATAATGTGGACTCCATGCCTAAATTAGGACATTTTCTGAACTTTATAGCTATTTATTTATTTATTCATTCATTCATTCATTTATTTTTACTAAGTAGTCTTCGCACCCAGCATGGAGCCCAGCGTGGGGCTTGAACTCATGATCCTGAGATCAAGACCTGAGCTGAGATCAAGAGTCAGGTGCTTAACCGACCGAGCTACCCAGGCACTCCTATAGCTTTTTTTTTTTTCCTAAAGATTTTATTTATTTGAGCATGAGAGAGAGAGCATGAGCAGGGGGGAAGGGCAGAGGCAGAGGGAGAGGGAGAAGCAGAATCCCTGCTGACAAGGGAGCCCGATGTGGGACTCGATCTCAGGACCCTAGGATCATGACCTGAGCTGAAGGCAGACGC